TGAGATGACGCGTTCGCGTCCATCGACAACTGTTTGTAATAGAGCACTGCCTATGGCAAAGTCAGATGCGTCACAGACGACACTGAAAGGCCGGTCAGGATTGGGCAAAGCCAATATTGGCGCATGTACGAGACTTTCCTTAACTGCATGAAAAGCATCATGTTCGTTATTACTCCAACACCAATTCACCTCCTTTTTAAGGAGAGTGGACAATGTCCGAGCCATATCTGCATAATTAGCACTATACTTATGCAAGTAAATGGCGAGGCCAAGCCACTTACGTGAACCTTTTGGCTCTTAGAAATTGTCCAATTGAATACGGCCCTTACCTTAGCGGGGGCGCTCGAAGGCCTCGCTTCCCAGCAAAACACACTAGAAAGGGAATCTCTTCTGCATTGAAGACGCACTTAGATGCATTAGCGTACTATTTATTCGTGCGCATGAACTCGAGCACCGCTCGTTAATGATCATCGTGGTTATCCACATCTGATCGCCCATTCATTGCACGACTATAGACAACAATGTCATCAATGTACGTTTGTGCATAGCCTCGATGAGGTCTATAAAAGTTGCGTTACCAGCCGGTTAAGTGTAGCCGGGGCGTTAGATAGCCCTTGTGGCATAACAAGCCACTCCCGGAGCATACCGCTCGGAGTACACACCGCTGTTAGCGAAATATCACTTGCTCGCATAAGCAGTTGGTAACAATTATCGACTAAGTCGAGTGCACTGTACAATGTACATCCTGCCATATTGTTCTGAGGCACATCCTTTCTAGGAATAGGCGTCTGCGCCGGTATAGTGGCTGCATTAAGCTTATTTTAAGCATGCACAATACGCCACTTGCCATTTGGCTTTTTGACACAAAATGTCGGTGTTGAATGGGGAGACTTGCTCTCACGAACCATTCCAGCCGCGTGCTTAGCACGAAAGAATTCGTCAATGATGTCACCCTGTTCTTTAGGCAAAGGCCACTGCCGTGTTACACAGTATTTAGTTCCAGGAACTAAGTCAATCTCATGACGTACACCTCTATCGGGGGGTAAGGAAGAAGGTGGGTTGTGACACACCACGTCTTGAAATTCCTTAACTAAAGGATAGAATGGATCCAAAGGATCTTTAAGGATCGAAGATCCACTTCGTGCACTAAGTGCCGCCTTTGTATCCTCTAGGAAAGACTCATCCATTAACGAGGAAGAACTCAACTCAGTATCAGGTCTAATGACCGCTAACTCGGATAACTCTCCTGCCTTCAAGGCCTGGCTAAACTCGCCATCAGACATTTCGTCTAGTTCACAAAGAGCTTCCACAGATGGAAGGGTTTCAAGGCAAACACTGCCATCAACCTGACCAGTCACTCCATTAACAAGTGTATATAGTGTAATACTATTATCACTATGTGACTGTGAGGACGCCTGGCGCTTAAAAGTTGCTACCCGGCGTCTCGGTCGTCTCTTCGAGACCTTACACCCCTCAGGGGTCGGGACAATATTGTCCCCATGGTTACTACTAACCATAGTACGCTCTATACGAGAACTTTTGTCTTGAACGACACCCGTTGAAGTGTTACATAACTCGAACACTTCACCCAGTGGATTGAAACGTGCCACTACACGTGTATTATGCGGGCCTAGCCCCAAATCTAACGGTGTCTCGCCAATAAGGTCATTACCGACATTAGGTGTGGTGTCCTCACGGCCGTCCACACTATACGGCGTATCGCCAACAGTATCATTACTGACATTAGGTTTGGTGCCCTCACGGCCGCCCACACTATACGGCGTATCGCCAACAACGTCATTACCGACGTTAAGTGTGGTGACTTCACGGCCGCCCACACTGAATGGCATATGGCCAACAATGTCATACCGAAATTAAGTGTGGTGCCTTCACGGTCGACCACACTCGGTGTAGCTTTACTGCCACCACACACACATCAAAGAAATTACATTCTTGATCACTCGGTCCAAGGGCAACCATGTTTTCAGCATGCAGTGACTCGTTATCACAGCGAGTAACACTCAACGTACTACGTGCCGAATCGCCGATACTTAACGAGCTACGCTCGGAATCTATGTTTACTACATTATGGTTAGACAACTCAGACATATCAATGTCCAGCACATTGATATCTTCTGTCGAAGGATCGCGCCAGAAGTGCTTCTGTTGCCTAGCGAAGGTGGGTTTGTGAATCTACGAAACTACGCTAGGAACGTTGCGCGTGCCGCCTAAGGTCTTAGACCTCCAATTAATCCATGACTCATGGCGTTCGAGTGAAGTTACACCAAGGATGAGATCATATCTCGAGTCCAAATCTAGGACAAGACAGCGCTCAATACTATCAAATTTTAAAAACCTTATACCTAAGTTCAATGGAAATTTAGGCACAGTAACACGACTTCCAGTCGCTAAACGAACCGTGATAAAATCACCCTCATGCGCTGTAAGCGCCTCAGCATAACGCTGACTTCCCGTAAGGGAACGGCGTCGAGCATAATTGCAAGACGCTCCAAAATCGATCGATATCGACCAAGGCTTCTCAAAGCCCTTACTTTTATCCTTGGCGACTGACAAGCCAGACTTGTATCCACGCACCATACCCGTAGGTATGGTACTCTTTGAGGCTAACCCTGCCTTCATTAACCTTCTAAAGGTGTAATTAAAATTTAGTTCTTCCCCAGTACGGCGCCCCGCGCCTATTGGGTGTCGGTATTTCCCCGTGCCATGCCAGACCTTTGGCTCGGGGTCGAGTGTTGGCTTGTAGCCTGGCGTTGCTTACGCAAAGGGCAACCATGCTGCAAGTGTTTAGTGCTTCCGCACGTTAAACATCGTCGTACGGCGCGTTTCTGCTCAGCAGCTTGAAGCTCAGCTTCACCTTCATCTTTAGCATAGCTGATATCCATCGGTTTCGGCCTATTATAGGCAGTGGTACCCAAAGAGTTTGCTCTCACAGAGCGAGGATTGTACCCATTCCAACCAAGTCTGGCCGACTTGAAGTTATGCTCAGAATCAGGAGCAATTCTCACAGCTTTTTCAGACGTAGAGGGGTGAACCCGAAAATCCTCGGTTCTGGCAATGCCAGTACGTAGACCTTCCATGAAGATAGTCACACCGACTGCCTCAGGCAGAGGGTCAGACTGCATTGCAGCCATGAGCGTTCGAAGCTCTTGAACATAGTCCAATAATTCATTCTTACCCTGGCGGGTAGAAAGAAAGCGTGAACGCACGCGGTAAGCCGGGTTAGGTGGAGAAAACACCCGTACCAATTGTGACTTTAGCGACTCCCATGTGGGAAACGCTATGTCCACCGACGTGCTACACGTCAAGGCCCATTCTCTAGCTCTTCCATCGAGCTTCGAGATAGCCGGCGAGACCTGTTGATGGTCAAGGTTGATCAGGCCTGATCTCATCGCCATACCGATCCCACGAATCCAAAGGATGAAGTTCTCACCCTCCTTACTGGAATAGTTTTTCACTTCCACTCTAAGTAGACGAGCCTAGCCTCTTCGTGTGGTACTACACATAGCGTGTAGGCATAGCCGACGCTACCTGGTCTTTGACTTGCCCTAAAAAAGTCGCTTCACACTGCATAAAGCTTTCAACACGTGCATTATGCACTTCAGGGCATTGTTAGACAAGGAACTCCACGTTCTCTGGACCCAAAGATGCGGTCAGCTTATCAAGCGCGACCGTTTGGGCATCAGATAGGGGAGTGGAGTTTTCCATCCTCACAGAGGATCAGTCTTAAAGACTCAGGCGTAGATTGACCAACAAGTGCTACCAAGTGTAGCGGAGCTACACAGCTCCTTAAGTCAGAGGAAGACTTAACGCTCTACGAGCAACTTAGTTCCAAAGAACTAACGACTTTACGAGTCAACAAGCTTTACAGCTTCAGACCCCAGTTCCAGGGGACCTAACGATTCAGTGAATCGACAGCACTCAGTGCTCAAGAGTAGCTACCGCAAGGATGTGTTGCTAACTCTTAGTGATCAGTGATCAACGATCAAGACGGCTCGCAAGCCACGTGTCCTTTAGATCAAAATGGGAACTGATTTTTTTTGTTAAAGCCTATCTAATATCTTAATCCTACTCAAAGATCTTTCGTACCTAATGGCTGACACTCGTCAGCCCCTACAAACCAATAAGATATTCTATGTAACCTTCACAAAGGGGTAACCTCAGGTGTGTAACACCTCTGGTACAAAGTACCATAATTTCGTGCAACCCCGTTACACCGCTTCACTATCGTAGATCAAGCTTTGCTCTATTCTTATGTCTTTGACATTGTCAGAATCATCTAAATCCAACATTTCGATGTTCAGCACACTGATATTGCCAGCCATTATCTCGCATCGACAGCGCTTCTGATTCCTAGCATAGGTGAGTTCATGAATCTTCAAAGTTTCTCAAGGGGTAGTTCGCGTGGTGTAACGGGGCACCCTGAAGCTTGTACTGGTGACAGTACAAGCTACTTATTCTGATAACAGAATAAGGCGGTGCCTCGTAACTTCACGTACACTCGTACGTGCAGAGGAAGACGGTAAGAAGAAGCGAGTACTCGGTTAGAGTAAAAAGTAGAACTGTATTTATAATAGTTAATGTCTGCAATAAATCACTATTTATCTTCATCTAACTATGTCTAAATACAAATGTGTAAGTCAGTTATCTGCTCACCACTCATTGCGTGCGTCTGTCGTGGCGCGTCTTCGTTGGTTGATATAATGGCCTATATCAACCAATTAGGAACTACTTGGAAGTGCTACAGAATATTGTCCTTATGACAATATTCTGAGAATATAACTCTTATAGTTATATTCTATTAACAATTTCTTATAAATTGTTATGTAACGATTCACCCCGTTACATCACCCCCCTTAACCATCAGTCACTTTAGTGACTGATTGACTAAATGGATACTCGTCCCAAATCATTTGGGACGGGGTTTGCACTTGTTGGTCCGCGTCCACTTTCCAACATCTCATCGCATGGTAAACAAGCCCATGCGATGCGCGAGCAAGGCCGCCGAGAGCGCGTCTGCACGTCTCTGTGCGGACGCCGAAGCAGAAACTACAGCAACTGATATCCCATCGGTTGCTGAATCGACTCAGCCTGTATCACCTGGTGATGCAGGCGCTGGTCATGAAGACACTCGTGTCTTCACAGAGTACGAGCTCGGTGTCTCGTACTCTCCTGATACGGATGACGGATCCGTATCGACGGCAATTGAATCCAAGCCGCCTGCCAAGCGTGGCATGGACGATGCTTTGCGTCGCAGCATCTTTGGTTCATCTGATGAGTCAGATGAACCATCGCCGAAGCGAAGGCGCTCGAGGTCGCGAGACTCGGGCGCTAATAGTGGTGTCGTTTCTCCAATGGACACCACTTCACAGCGAGGTGCCAGTACTTCTGTCGGCACGTCGCAGGAAGAGCGGGACCGCAATGTGTTGCGTCTCGCTCCAGAAAAGAAGGCATGGATGCCTCCTAAATCTGTCATGGATCACTTGTCGGCGACGACGAGTGATCGTTATCGAACACGATTGTTCGATTCGTCAAGGATCCATCACCTTGACCCCAGCGCGAAAGACTATCGCGCTGAACATGAGAGTTCTTCATCGATGCTTTCTTCAGACATCGATGGTACAGTGGGAATCACAAACGTGATGGTCCCTCACTACTTCAGGCGTGGAACGCCTACATCCATAATCTCGAGGATGTAGGTCGTGACGCTTGGAACGACAAACTTATCAAAGCTCGTGATAAGTTTGAAAAGCGAACCCCGACAGGTGCACGCTATAAGCTGCATCGTCTGTCAAGGGAGAAAGGATTACCCTGCCTCTCTTGGGGAGACTCGTGCCCATGTTGTGTGAACAACTTTGCACGAGCACCTAAGGAGGCTTACCTCCTTACCAGCCCGTGGTGGCGCGTACGTGTCTCTACTGAGATGTACGAAGGGATTGACAACCTGAAATCCCTTTACGACCGTGCCGGGAAGACTTTCTCCGGCGGTCCTTCTGCGGCACAGGATGTGTCGCGTCGTACTGCTCGACCAGACCCAGTACGTCAACCATCAATTGGGAGCGGGGCTCCCAAGAATCCCAGGACGGGGGATAGCCGCGCCACCGGACGAGGTAACTCGTCCGACGTCCGTTCACGTCGCGGTGGTTCAACAGCTGCTCTACTAGATAGCGCTGGCCACCGCGAGAGTCCTCTAATGGAGGTGGAGGAGGAGGAAAGACGCTCTCCACACGATCATGTGGATCGGTGTGTTCCCGAGAGCATCTTTGATCGCGTAACGCAAGGGTTACGCGACGATCTCGAGCATGAGCGGAATAGGCGTCTCCAGATGTTGGACACTGCCTCGAAGCATCGAGCTGAGTTTGCCTTTGCTCAGCTTGAGAACGAGAGATCTCTGACATCTCTTCGTGACGAGCTAAGGGTAGCTCGTGGGATTGTTGATCGGTCTCGGGCTGAGATAACTGCTCTTCAGACCCTTGTTGATGCCCACCATCGGGAGCACAAGGCTCTCTGCGAGATGCTTGAGCGCAAGGGCGTTCTTCATCGGAAGAAGCAGCGTACTGATGGTACGGCTTAAGCCGACCAACGTAAAACGTGGGATGCGTTCGCATCTTACGTGGTAACTCGATCGTGTATGCATTGCCTAGGCGGTGCAATACACGAAATGGGCCAATGTACTTGGGTAGTAGTTTACTGCTACCCAAGTTAGTCACTACATGCTTTGGTAGATTAACCGTAGACAGTAGGACTAAGTCACCTTTATTAAATAAAAGAGTGTTTGCCCTTCCATTCTTGTCAGCGTTTTGCTTTTGCTTATCCACCGCTTCGGCGATGGAGTCTTGCACAAAACGGACTACCGTTTCACGAGCCAGTATGAACTCATCTGATGACTCGTTAGCTTCAGTGTGCTGTGAGCGCACTGCAGCGACAACAACCTTTTCTTCAGTGAGGGCTTCCGCACTCTCACTGGGATCATTGTCTTCAGTGAGGGCTTCCGCACTCTCACTGGCATCATCTTCTTCGATATCGATGTTATCGATATCGGCATCAAACGCAATGACTTCTTCGTCAGAGCGTGATGAGCGTGAACCAAATCGTTTTTGCTCGCGCGAGTCCCTCCCCCCCTTAAACCAGAGTTACACTCTAGTAAGGTGGGTACACGCGGATGGCGCAAGCCATTCACGTAAAACGGTGTATGTCTCGTGGACGCATGCACCGAGTTGTTGATGGCAAACTCTACCATCGGCAAAAACTCACTCCAACTCTTAAAGGAGTGTACGTATCCTCGAAATATCTCTTCAAGGACACGATTGGCACGTTCCGTCTGACCATCTGACTCTGGATGATCAGATGTTGACATCTTCAAGCGCGTTCCGAGTGATTTGAACACGGAACGCCAGAAATCAGCAGTGAATCGTGGATCTCTGTCTGATACGAGTTCACGGGGCAACCCATGAAGTCGGAAGATGGTGTCAATAAAGACACAAGCACAGCCACTTGCCGTGATTGTCTCTGGTACAGCCACAAGGTGTACCATTTTGCTGAATCTGTCAACAAATACGAGAATACCCGTATTCCCGCGTGCGTCTTTGGGTAACCCGAAGACGAAATCCATTGAGATGGATTCCCAGCACTCAGCCGGAACCGGTAGAGGCTGTAAAGGTGCACGCAGTGAAGGACTTGACTTCACTCGTTGGCAGACTTCGCATGCGCGAACATACTTTCGCACAAACTGATACTGGCGGGGCCAGTAAAAGTCTCGACTTACCGTGAGATATGTTTTCTCTCGGCCACGATGTCCTCCTATAGGAGCATCGTGATACTCGAACATGATCCGCAAACGCAGATCAGTATCATCTGGAATGACAACACGTGGTGTGTCACCAGAAACGGCTGTATAGTACAGTAAACCGTTACGAGTAGTGTATCGATCTGATGCAGATCGATACGCAGACGACAATCGTTTCAACGATTCTCGAGATGGTTGGGAGAGATGTGACAACAACTTCACTATCTCACCATCTTGGGCGTATGCCCGCCTCACATCATCATACAACGTTGTAGATGGAACTGAGGACGTCATAACCGCAACAGTGACTGTCTCACTGTTGGGTTTCGCGACTGTTTCAAAGTCGGGACGACGTGAGAGTGCATCAGCGACGACATTAAGTCGTCCTGGTTTGTACTCGACCGTAAAGTTGTATTCTGCAAAGAATGACAACCACCGCGCCATTCGTTGTGAAAGGTGCGGGCTGTTCACTGCCGTGCGTAAGGACGCATGGTCAGTGTAAACAACGAAGGGTCTATCTCCTAATAGATAGACTCTGAACTTCGCGAGTGCATACTTCATGGCAAGGAGTTCCTTGTCATGCACTGGATAGTTCCGCTCAGCTGGTTGCAGCTGACGCGGCTGATAGCAGACGACGCGTTCAACGCCTTCAAGGTCGTACTGCATTAATGCACAGCCGATTGCGAAATACAGACCACATGAAATGGCCTGTCCTGATCGGCTATTGCTAGGACTGGGGATTGTATCAAGCTCTGCTTGATACCCTCAAAGGAGCGTTGACATTCAGCGTTCCATAACCACCTCTCGTTCTTTTTCAACAAACGAGAGAGGTGTACAGTCATCTCGGCGTAATTGCGTGAATACTTATGCAAATACGCCGCTAGCCCAAGGAATTTTCGAAGACCTTTGACATCGACCGGCACAGGCCAGTCGGTGATCGCCTTGATCTTTTCGGGATCAGGACGTACACCGTTCTTACCAACGATGCACCCAAGAAGTGGTATTTCGCTTGCTGCAAATATACACTTCTTGAGGTTTGCATACAATTGATGCTTTCGCATGATTGTAAGAACTTGTCGGACGTGGTACCTGTGAACCTCAACGTCCGACTTTCCATCCATAGCTCGACTATGGATGAATACGTCATCGAAATAACTCGGCGCGAATTCTCGTACTGGCCTCAACAGATGTGATACACACCTGTTGAACGTGGCAGGGGCATTACTGAGCCCTTGTGGCATTACTAGCCATTCCCAGAGCATGCCGCTAGGCGTGCTAACTGCGGTATAGGGTATATCCCGTTCCCGCATTAGGATTTGATAGAAGCCATCCATCAAATCCATGGACGAAAAGATGGTACTCTTTGACATACCATCAATGATTACGTCCTTCCTCGGTATCGGCGTCTGAGCCGGTACCGTTGCAGCGTTCAATTTGTTAAACGCGTGCACTATCCGCCACCCTCCTGTTGCTTTTCGCACACAGAAGGTCGGAGAGCTATGTGGGGAAGTTGATTCCCTCACATGGCCCGCTGCTAAACGATCGGCAAAGAACTTGTCGATCGCAAGTACTTGTTCACGAGGCAGTGGCCACTGCTTCATGACACAGTACTTCGAGCCTGGTTTAAGCTCGACTTCGTGTCGAATACCTTTATCCTTCGGTAATTCGCACGGAACAGTTTCAGGGAATACATCCTTGAATTCAACCAAATCCTCATAGAGAGGGTTTTCCTTGAGCGATTCCCATGATTGGGACTCATATCGCTCAATTCGTGTCTTTTCATCTAGGACACTCTCGTCCATAGATGAACTACTGAGAACTCTCTCGTTCTCAGTAAACACTGTTGCTGACCTTATGTCGGTTACATACTCGTCGTCAGCGACGAGTATGCAGATCTGCTTGACTTTGCCACTACGCAGATCACGCAAGAACCTTTTATGTTCGAGCGTTGGCAACTGAGTGATCTCCGAAGTTAACTTCGGAGGCGCAATCAGATCAAGTGTATAAGCGCCTACACATGATCCGTTATTGACTATGACATTCAATGTCTCTGTCATTTCCTGGGGACTTATTCTCTCAGGCTTCGAAGGACTTATTCCTTCGTCTTCCCGGGGACTTATTCCCGCGGGTTTCGGGGAACTTATTTCCGCCGTATTTGTAATCTTGGGACTTATTCCCTTTACTTCCTCTAGCTGGGGTTGCGCAACCACAGCGAGATCCTCTACGAAAGACTCTCCAGTCGATCTAGGATTATCGTTTCGCTTAACCTGAGCGATCGATTGTTTCTCTTCTAGATGTTCCCCTCTAGGGATACATCTTTGTCCCAGTCCACCCGACTTATTCGAGTGGTGGACCTTCGGCGCAGCCTGTGTTTCCTCACAGCCGCCGGAACTTTGCTCCGAAGTGTAACCGTTTGGTACACTAAGGTTTTGTGCAGTCGTACTAACGACCGTACCACAAGTGAGGCCATCGCACTCACTCGTAGTACATCCACACGCTTGTGGACGCTCCAAAACGTTCATCAGATGGCCATCTGATGAACAAGCGGCAGGCATCGTTACTGTCCGATGTTGCCAGTTTACCCGTGGTTCGTACCTTCTGAGCCACGGTATTCCAAGGATGACATCAAATTTGTCATCCAAATCCAATACGATAAAGTCATCGTCGTATTGGGTATCTTCTAGCGTATAGTGAATCTTCACTATACGCTTCATATTGATTACGGATGCGCCTGTCGCAAGACGTACCGTCATCCTCGTAGGAGGTGTGTCACATTCACTGAATTTAAAGTGACCATCTTCTAGCGATTGGCGTCGCACAAAATTGTTGGACGCCCCACAATCGACTAGAGCTCGAAGGGACAACTTATTCGTCACTTCGAGTTTCAAGGTAATGAGTGAGATCTCATTACCTAGAGCAGCAACGCACAATGTCTGTGTGTTGGGAGCAACCTTCATCAAGAGGCCTACAAATTCTCTTGACGTTGCTGGATCAGTAGGGTGCTCCGCACCTACTGATCCTGTCCGTTTTTTGACGGTCCATCCCGTTGTTGCGTCTTTGCACCAACTGCGGACCCTCGTCCCTGCCCCTTTCTCATGGGTGGACGGTCACTACGCCCAGTGTCGCGAGACACTGAACGAGGGGCACTACACTCGTAAGCGTAGTGTCCTGTCTTTTGACATCTGTTGCATCTCTGCAACTTCTTGTAGCCTGTAGAGCGAGCCTTCTCGCTCTCTACATAACAGAGTTCCATCGGCTCTGGACCTCCGTTGTCATATCGTCTCGGTTGACGATATGATGTCGAGCTGGCGCGAGCCTGTCTCAGACTGAAGTCTTCCTGCTCCGCAATTGAAATGGCTTGTTCTAGTGAATCTAGTTCAAGCCGGAACAGGTGAGTCTTGACGGGACCATCCGCAAGACCCTGCATGAACACCGAAACCAACGTGTGTTCATCCACCGGATTGGAACTTATACAACTCGTGAGATGTCGTATATGTTGAGCGTAAGCGTGCACATCACGCTTACCCTGCTTGAGCTTCAAGAGTTCGGTTCGAGCCCTGAACTCAGCTCTAGGCGGTTTAAACGTTTGTCTGAGCCGCGACTTGAAGACTTCTAGCGACCCAAACGCATATGGGTCGTGCAGCTTGAGCCCCAGTGCCCAAGTCTTGGCACGTCCTGCCAGATTTGACTGGGCAAATGCAACTTGCATATCCCCGTCGTCGATGCGACGCGCCCTTATGGCGTCATCCAATTCGACGAACCATCTCAAGAGGGAGTCTTCTTCGACCCCCCTATACTTTGAGATGTCAATCTTCAAAGTCTCGGGCCGACGCGAGTGCATCGACCCGCCAGCAGCAGCCTGCTGCTGTCTCAACAGTTCAAACTGTTGAGCACCTTGTTCTCTCAACAACTCTGCTTGTTGAGAACCTTGTTGGTGAAGCAAGGCTACTTTCTCGCGTTCTGCGTCAAGTTCATTTTGAATGAACTTGGCGATAGTAGCATGTTGGGCATCTCTATTGAGAGCCTCTAGCATGACGCTAACAGCATGGATGCCCATGGTCGAACCCATTCGTTCAACCGCATCCCATTCGACATCGCTCAAATGGGAGTAGCCGTCACGCGTAGCGTGAAAGCTTTGGTCATCTTCATCATCCAACATATTCATGTTGGATGTGAACGCGGTCCTTGGACGGACTACGAAGTGCTACCAGGTGTAACGGGGCACCCTGAAGCTTGTACTGGTGACAGTACAAGCTACTTATTCTGATAACAGAATAAGGCGGTGCCTCGTAACTTCACGTACACTCGTACGTGCAGAGGAAGACGGTAAGAAGAAGCGAGTACTCGGTTAGAGTAAAAAGTAGAACTGTATTTATAATAGTTAATGTCTGCAATAAATCACTATTTATCTTCATCTAACTATGTCTAAATACAAATGTGTAAGTCAGTTATCTGCTCACCACTCATTGCGTGCGTCTGTCGTGGCGCGTCTTCGTTGGTTGATATAATGGCCTATATCAACCAATTAGGAACTACTTGGAAGTGCTACAGAATATTGTCCTTATGACAATATTCTGAGAATATAACTCTTATAGTTATATTCTATTAACAATTTCTTATAAATTGTTATGTAACGATTCACCCCGTTACACGTGGCGCCTAATGATTTCAATCTCCAGTCGATCCATGGCTCATGGCGCTCAGGCCAACCCATGCCAAGAATTGTGTCATATCTCGAGTCCAAATTAAGGACCAAACAGCTACGCTTCTGTCGAAGTCTAAAAACTATACACCTAAGTTCACAAGAATTATAGGTGCGGTGAATAGAGTTTCTGTCGCTAAGCGAGCAGTGATCGTATCACCCTCGTGTGTCTCTAGCGCCTCACCATAACATGGATTCCCTAAAAGAGAATATCATTCGACATAATTACCGGATGTACCGGCTTCGATCGGAATCGACTAGCATTTGTCTAAGCCCTTTACAGTCGCCTTTTGCGGCCCACAAGCCTGACTTAAATTCAAGCTCCGTGTTAGAGTGCACGGGACTCCTTGGGGCTAAATTCTGTATCTCATTACCTCCTAGAGGCTCAACAGAACCTATCTCTTTCCCAGCAGAGCGTCCCGCACCTACTGGAAGTCTTCGTTTCCTCTTACCGTACCATACTGCTGCTTCGCGGTGGGAGTTTGACTTGAAATAGCCTGGCGTGCCCTGCGTATAGGCAATTAGGTTGCAGATGCTTTGTGCTTCCGCAAGTGAAACATTGTCGAATGTTTTATTTCTTTTCTATAGCTCAAATCTCTGCTTCTTTACCCGTATCGGCGAAACTGAGGTCCATAGACTGCTGCCTGTTGAATGAGCTAAATGATTCCATCGATTTTGTGTAGGACTCATGTATGCGAAACGAGCTGCCTCGAAGTTGAACTAAGCGTTCCACGTGATATCCACAACCTCCGTAAAGGAGGTGGGGGAGTACCCGGAAAACGTCCTTTCGAGCCACGCCCGTGCGAAGGTCCTCCATGAGGATGGTACCAGAACCATTTCTGGTATGTAGTCAATCTGCATGGCAGCGACTAGAGTTCTCAGTTCCTGGACATAGTCCAATAGTTTTTTCTTGCCCTGACAGTCATATAGGAAATGAGAACGCGCTCGATATGCTTGATTAGGCGGAGAAAACACCCGAGATATTTTCTGGTTTCGCAAATCCCGTGTGGGGAAAGGTTTTTCTACCGACGTGCTAGACGTGAGAGCCCATTATCTGGCTCGACTACATGTTTCCAGGCAGCCATCACAAGTCGCCGTTGCTCCGACCGTATCAAAGCGGAGTTTGTGTTCATTTTCACCTCTCTAATCCACGGGAGCATGTTCTCTCCTTCTTTTCCCTCAAGTGTCTTTACAGTAAAGGCAAGGGGGTGAGTCCTTGGCTCTTCATCGGGTACGGGAACATACCGAGTAGGCATAGCCCATGCCAAATGGTCGTGCGCTTGCCTAATCAAAGTGTAATCAAACTGCATAAAAGAGTCAAGACGTGAACGAATCCAGTCAAGACCTTGTGCAAGAAATAGATCCACTCGTTCATTCTCTACTAGCGCTCTGAGTTTCTCTAGCGCTAATCCTTGGGCCTCACGGAAGGTAATCTTTGTTTCCATCCTTACCGAGGAACATTCTTTAACATACTCAGGTGTAAATTGACTACAAGTGCTCTTGAGTGTAGCGGAGCTACACTGACTCCTTAGTCAGAGAAAAGCTTGTGCCCAAGTTAAGACTAGTACTCATGGACATATTTCTTACGATTAAGGACGTCCTAGAAAGACACGTGTCCGAAACTGATCAAAAGGGGAACTTATTATCTTTACTGATTTATAGTGAATAAACCTTACTTTTGCCTTAAACCTTAAACTATTTACCTTATCGAATAGTTCTCATCGTAATTCTTCTCGTTTGCCACACCAGAACTACGTCACTCCTATGAAGACCCTATACGATAGACACCATCTATTCCGTAATCGATAAGGTACGGTATTATCGCTTAGCGTATGTGATGCAATGTACGCCTTAGCGGCAATACTGCTCTTTTTCTGTGTGTACCACACCAACGTATTTGGTTATCACAACCATTTGTGTAACCCCGTTACAGCAAGTGCAAACAGTCTGCTGACCTTAGTAGTCTAAAGATCGGAATTCCTGCTAAGGCGCTGTTATACGGTCTGTTTCAATGCCAGTATAATTATGAAGGAGAAGTCATGGTAGGGATTGCATTACCGTTTAGCTTTATATTCAATAGTTTTGTTCTCATGTATGTGTACGTACTGTGTAATTCCGGCGATGTTGATAAATTTGGAGCGTCCGATTGGGTGCGTACTTATCGAAGAGTGGGTGTGTACTTATGTATCTCGAAAAGTATAAAACGAGTTTGGTCGCGGACGTGTCCATTTTTGAAGTTGCGACAACTCAGTAATTTACGATGTGGTCAAATGTTTGGTAAATGTAGTCTTATTGGGTACAAACGACGGCAACGGACAAAAAGGGAGCGGCAAAGAAGTGATTCTCATCATTAGATGTTTATTTAGAAATCTATTAAATGTTTTTAACATTTATACCGTTAGCTGTCATCAAGTCTCATTTTATACGTCTCCCTAGTGTAATTACCTACAATTGACGGATTGCATACGTCGGCCGTCGTACGTCAACACGGTGGACACTTCACGGATCATGAGGGCCTTCGAAGCGGCAATATAGCACGACAGGGTACGGCTGTGGATCTCAAAAGCTTACGTGGCAGTGTGTCGCAATCCGGATATTTAGCATTGTCGAAAGGACTTGTACGACTGTGTCGTCTGAAAAGTCACGTGTCGTCGACCTGGAATGCCTCAACGATGTGCAGGAGCTCCTGGAATGCTGAAGATCTTTCCGGAGCGCATGCTGTCTGGCAATGTGAGGTTGCATCACGGCATCGTCGTTGCATAGATGGCTGCAGGAGCTGTTTTCATGCTGTTGTACTGTGAGCGATCTTACACTTGCTATTCGGTTTGAATTGCGACATTACGTCCAGTATGAAAAGACATGGCGCACGGTGGATCGACGACGATCGTGGACGATCTCTAGCTTTTACACAAGAGTTCAATTGGACGACACTCGGCTATCTGCTGGCTACGAGGCTTTTGGTGACGCTAAACTTACTGGCTCACGTCCTGATTGCGCCCTATACTAATTCGGCACCCTCAGGTTCTAGTAGACTTGCGAATCTCTTGAAGAGCTATACTGCCAATTTCGAGTTGACTGATACTGTTGATGCGTTCTTGCTGGTTAGTATCTGATACATTCAGACGAGGACTTCGGGAGTAAGCCGTCTTTCTTCGGAAGATATCGCATATTCGGCCATGCCCGTCTACGATCAGCGACACACATCTAGATATCCTGCATGCCTGAACCTGATGGCTGCACACCGGAAGCGCGGGTTCGCCCAGTTGTTCCTGCAGAGTGTATGAACGACGATTCACTGATCCTATGCACTGGCCGCTCTGTATAAACCTGGCGGACACATGGTCGTGAGAGTCTTTGAAGTGGCAATCGTAGCATGCCAGAGGGTACGGCAGTAGATCCTAAAAACTTACGTGGCAGTGTGTCGCTATCCCGATCTGTAGCATCGTCGAAAGGACTTGTACGACTGTGTCGTCTGTGTCGTCTGTGTCGTCTGACAAGTCACGTGTCGTCGACATGGAATGCCTCAACGATATGCAGGAGCTCCTGGAATGCTGAAGATCTTTCCGGAGCGCGTGCTGTCTGGCGACGTGAGGTTGCATCACGCCATCGTCGTTGCATAAATGGCTGCAGGAGCTATCGTCATGCTGTGCGTGATGGCGATCTTGCGACGTGTTGACGGTATGTCCAGTGCAGATGTCGACGGTACGAACGGCCAGTAGCAAACAATGTTGTTACGTTGACAGCCTACGTTACGTCCGAGCTATGGCGCTGACACATCACCAACTGGCAGGGACAACGCCTCGTCTCGGCTTGACGATGCATCGAAGTCATACAGCGTCGACTGCTTTTGCAAATCGGAGCCTGAACCTTCGAATAGAGTCGGTGCCTCTTGCACTGGGCAAGCAGTCAGCATGGGATCAGCGGGTGGGTCGAACACTTCTGTCTCATGAACCAGCCTCCGGATCTCTCGAAAAAGACCTGATTGACTCAGCACTGTATGTCCATCTGATCCGCCCAAGTCAGTCCGTAAGCCAGCCAGCCAGTCAGCTAGCTAGTCAGTGTCAGGGAGAGACCGAGCTTTGGACAACCAGCGATCCATCATTCTTCAATTGGCTCTCTACTGCTCACTCGGTGATTCACTCGCTGCTGTCTCAAGATGCGGTCGCTGCCACTCGTAGCTCTGGTCACCCGACTGCTGACTTGCACTGCTGCAACGCCACCAGGCGCCACCACCTTCAGCTTTAAAAGCGTGGGCTCGTCTCCCACTGGAGCTAACGGCCAAGGCACGTCCAGCTCGTCGCTTCAAACGCCAACGTCGTCGTCAACCGAGCGGGCGAACCAAGAAGACCGAGCAATAGCGGTGACGTTGCCTGCATTGGAAGATCTGGTCTCGAAAGCTGCTGACGAGACCAAGCTTCTGCAGAGCTTTGTCGGCGACACATTGGCCAGTGCCACGGAGCGGCAAAACATCGGCGAATTGGCAACGAAGGAGGCCGCTCTCGAAAAGCAGGAGGCTGTTGCCGCTTTGAAGAAAGTCACGGAGGCTGAAGGGGACGTTGTGAAGAAGGTGAAGCCGAAGAAGATCGTTCTGAAGGGAGATGAGGGACGGTGGAGAGAGATGCTGGGCGCCAAGGAGAGCTATGTGCTTAGTGCCGACACTGCTAAGCAGCTTCGTGATGCTGAAAAGGATCGGGCAGAGATGGTTCAATTGCTCAAGGCGGCGGGAAAAAAGGCCCCCGAAAGCCTTCGCAGGGACATCGTAAAACTGAATATGAAGACCGTCCCAGATGAGTACCTGACATCAGACGTTGGCCGAGAGAAGCAGCGGTTTAATGAGAACAGGCGCGAGTTGACCTGCAGTATCGTGTCGAACATCAAAAGAAACAAGAACCATCAAGTGCTTTTGATCAGCAGCTCGAATCCGAAGAAGCCAGAGTGGCTCCTTCCCAAGGGTGGCTGGAACAACGATGAGTCGATGATGGACTCTGCGAAACGTGAGATCATTGAAGAAGCAGGGGTACGTGCATTTTTTTCGTTTCTCTCGCAGGCATTGATCCCTTCGACAGATCCGAGCTAATAACGGATTTGTGATTGAGCAGGTTTCCACAAGAGGGCGGCCGAGATATTTGGGTGTGAGATACGTTACCGTACTAGACGGCAAGGAAGAAACAAGCTACGTTTACAGGGTAATTAAAGTGGACTCTGGGACAGTATACGATCAATGGCCTGAGAGCATCCGTCACCGCATATGGGTAAGAGACACGGTGGCGGAGACAATGCTGTTAAACGTTCGGATCAGTTAACCGAGCATGACTTGTTTTTTTCTTTACACAGGTCACCTTCAACGATGCGATCAAGCTCCTCAAGGATGACCGCCCACACATGGCTGCTATGGTGGGGGACGCTGCTATGGTGTGGGACACCCCCGTGTGGCAAACTAAGCCAAAACACGTAGCCGCTTGAATCAGTAAAAGAAGCACCTGAGAAAGAAGAAGAAGAAGAAGGGGAGAATGCGGGGCTAGCCTACATCCATTTTCCGATCCCGATACGAGATAAGCTGATAAAAATTCACTGTTCGCGACCTTTACAAGATGTCGCTTTGACTTGCAGGATGCTGTTAATCCTGGAGAAAGCGTATCGCTCCAGAGATACTTACGAAACAGATGAATTCGCCAGCGAAACTGGCGAGTCAGTCGGTGATACATTCTACCATCGCTTGGCTCCTGATAAACGGTGGTGACTGACCGCAACGAGCCAATCGTCCTCGTTGTGGTGTCAAGTTGGCTTCATCAAGTCTTGAAAATGGCAATTGTCGATGAGTCAGAGGCCATCGCGCAAGAAACAGACACGTTTCATCAGAGCAGGTTCTCACCAAGACCTGGACACGCAGTAAGACTGTTCATGACGCACTGAGGTTATCAACGAGATGAGCACCTTCTTTGGGGAATAAACACGATTCAACGTGGAGATTGCAGTGCGTAAACATGGATCTAGCGACACTCGAACGTTGATTCAATGGTCCTTAAATGCTATCGCAGATCCGTGATTCTGTGAGCTAGCATTGCTTCCGTGTAAGGCATCCATACACTTGGATCGTACGCACTGCCTTGATGACTGAAACGAGTCACCATCCAAAGCGTATCAGTGCTGTGTGCCCTCATGTTCTCCTTCGGCTTCTTGTCCACTTACTATTCCGACGCAAGCTCGACCTTTCTCCAGCGCCATGTATCGAGCACCGATATCGTGCACAAAGTTAAAATACACATAGCGACAGTCGAACTCCATGTCGTGCCAGTAATTCACTGAGATCGTCGGGCATAAGTGTGCTGCTCGGTGATACCACAACGACGGCAAGTACAGGACTTCCCCAGCATTGACCACCACTTCAATCGGATTGAGCGCTCCAGCCAGCGGATACCGCTTTTCATCGACGTTTAACGGGTCTACTGGAATCCATGGCGTAGTTCCTTTATCACGCGACGACCAGATTAACCACTGTTGATACTGGGGATACTTTTCGTGAAACCGTTTGGTGGCAATTGGATCGATGACCAAATGTTCATCGACATGTGGCTCAGGTGACTCCGCATGACGATACCTCGCCGACGCAAACTCTTGCTCGTACAAACACCCTACTGCTGACGGTGGCAGCAAGGTGAAGTGCTTCTGGCCCTTGACGACACAGTACATATTCTGTCACACAGCAACCCCAAAACACCACCAAATGAACCATTTTCCCAACAACAACAACAACAACAACAGCAACAACAGCAACAACAAAGAACAGCCCTCATCCCACTCACTTCATAATGATCCTTGTGCATGGTGGACACGACTCTCTCGTCTCCGATCCATATATTCACGGCCTCGGGTTCATTCCCAAAAGCTTCAACCGCCAGCTCGATCGCAGCTGGCACTTCTTCGAACAGACCTGGAAGTTGATCGCGCAAGCTATCGTTCTGATGCGAAAGATACGGGACACCTTGACGTTCGTTACGGGTGTGCAGCAACTCGAGAAAGTTCGCAAATGTCAGATCGCGTTCTTCCGGCATCACGAAAATTCCCTCGTGACCGTTCGGGGAAACTTCCAGCACCGCGTCTCCAATTCCAAAAGGCGTCATGTTCACTGTGACAAGGGCGTCCCCCGCTTTAGTGACAAGATGCGCATCATCTTGCCACTTCACAAGAGCTCGTCGCCACAGCGCTGACGTCATCGCATTCCGGAGCACAACGGGCGCGTTGCGACTCACAAACTCTCGATGGAATTGCAGCGGTGTCAAACGTAGCGCGTCGACGCGACGAATGGCATGCAACGGCGCCCAAAAGTCCTGTGTATCGCTCTGGAGACGACCGAGCGCAGCAGCTACGGAGCTGCTCATTGTGGTGCGTCAAGTCCTTGACGTGAGTAGGTACGAGCGGTCGGTCTTGCATTGTATAAAAGTGGCTGGACGCCCATTTGATTCGCAGACGATAGAAAGTGCTTTTCTGCGACTGCGACACCTCTTGAGAGTGAGTGAGGGCCACGCGAGACTGAAGTAGACCTGAAGTGGCAGTAAATGACGAGGCCCCTTTCGTACTTAACGCGCACGAACGCTTGGCAACAACGAACTCGACCAGGACTTTAGCGGGAATGCCTGATGTTGTGGTGCCATGTGCACAATCGTACAACATCGGTGTGTACTTGACGTTCGGCAGAGGGTTTCATTAAAGTGGCGCCAAACAAACGTTTTCTCTGCAGCAATTGCCGCCCTTCAAGAACCGCGTAGCTGATTGACCCTGTCCGCACCTCTCATATAATTTAAAACCAGCTTTTTTACGCGGTTTCAAGACGCGGTCAGTCGACGGACACGCGCCGGACGTAGTAGCCAGTTTGCAGATTGCCCACATGTTCTGATCGACTCAGGGGCAACTAAAAGTACGCGTTATACAGGCGTCGTTGAGCAAACGAAGTGTCAACGCACGACGCTACAAGACCCCTGATGTCCCGTTCTAGCACTAGAGTGGGACGTGCCAAGAAGAAGGATACCGACGCTGCTTCCATGTGTTTCGCTTCCTTCTCGTTCCAGAGACAGTGGAACATGAGGCATTAATTTCGTGTTGACACAGGAGCGTGGTTTAATTAGCCTTCCAGCGATGATCGGACTATTCGCCTTCGCAGACACATAGAACATGACCCACGAAGTACTTGCATGCAAGTGCCGTAGAATTCATACTACAATCGACTGCTGGATGAACATTTTATCACGGCGTCTGATGAAGTGCTTTACAAAAGGCTCGATTGAGATAATATAGACGTGCTGAATGTGCTCAGTTAGGTCACATGAGTAGCCTACCACATGATAAACCTGCAGACCAGCACTGTACGTTGTAAAGCAGCAATCGTAATGACCGTCGCTTGAACACACTTCCAAGAAATACGCCATGCTGTCCCAGGCGTCGCGTTGTGCTGATTACTATCAGCACTGCTATGCTGGCTTCAAACTTGTGAGTCTTGCAACTCTTCATCCCGATTCAGGACCTTGTTGAATGACTTTCGGGTCAGTTTTGCAGCTCAACTTGTGCAAGAAAACGCTTCGGTATCACGTCGTTAACGGACCCAACTAGCTACTCATGGATCATGTCGATCACCATTTCAGTCAGCCTTCGAAGATGCTGCAAAATATCAAGATCGAAAAGGTGAGTGCGCGAGAGTATCGTCGAGACTAGAATCGATGCAGCTCTTACACTGTACAACTATTACGACAACTTTCGTCAACGACGATCTCTCCTCTCCATGGAACTCGATACTCGCCAGAGAAAGTCATGCAATGCTGCATTGGTAAGCTGCTCTCCTTCTTTATCCCAGTTCCCCATCCAAGCGGCTAAAGCTTTCGCCTGCACGTAAGGCTTTTCCTGCACATGTGGTGGGTGCGTGGTGCCTAAACAATGCATTGGCAAGTTGTAGACACTGAATGACCAGCTGACGCCACTTTGAACTGTAGTCGGTCGGTCGGTCAGTCCGCTGTCGACTGCGTCACTTGCAATTTCCACGCCCTTTGCTCGATCCAAACGTCATGGCGAGTAGTACTGCTGGTAGTAGTTGTTACCCGCCCAAGCCGGTGACGTTGTCACCTGAAGATGAACGCACCATTGAAATGCTCGCAGATCGCCTCGTAGTAGAGACCTTGCACGCGAGTGAGAACTTTACTGCTCGAGGACGGGTAGCTGACCCTCGGTGCTGGAAATCCATGAAGAAGAAAGACAGCATGGTCGTGTACCAAGAAGTTGCCAACTCGCGCCAAAATGCGACTCGAGGCGAACGGCTTTGGAGTGAAGACACGGTCGTGATTTCCGCCTCGCCACGACCAGCGGCTTTCGATTTGACAACGGAGACCTATCAGGTGTTGCAAGGAGAAGACGCCAGTGGTCGGTTCCAGGGCATTCGAGGCACGTGTGATTTCGACGACGACAAAGGTGTGGGCTACGATACATTCACAAAGTTTGGAGCCCGAGCTGGAACGGATGACCAGGTGTTGCAGAGGTTCCTACCGGACAATGTACCGACGATTTTCTCGGCCGGGACGTTTCCAGGAACGGTGGAGGACATGGCACTTGCCTTTTTCGCCGACTCGGACGAGCGAACCCGAACGCGGTTCAGCTCAAACAAGGACGTGGCAGTTGATGACCTTAAGATTCTCGCCCGGATTCATGGCCCGACAAAGGAAGATCCGTTTCGGTTTCTCGGGATCAAGTGGTATACAAACGTCCCTCGTTGGATGGTGTCACTGGTTGTCAAACCTCGAGACTATTTGATTATTGAGTCCACTGGCATGGCTTTTGACTCGAATGGGGACCGCTTTACGTACATGCTGAACCACTCGATTGAAATGGACGAGGTCCCGGACTTTCGGGCGTTTGGACTTGTGCGCATGGTGTTTTCCGCTTGTCATATCATGCGGCCTTACGAAACCAAGGACGCTGCTGTGAAGATCTTCTCAAGGGGGTTCTTGCTCATTAATGGGAGCTTTGGTGTACGAGGAAGTGCCGCTCAACTTGCTGAGGGGTTTGTGGGCATCCCTCGGATGGTCGAAGAAGCGTATTCAAGGAAACTTTCGTGGATACTAGAGAACCGGTGTCGGTTGAGTGTAAGCAGTGCCAATGGAACAGTCGAAGACAACAGCTTCAGTAGTAGCAACAGGAGCTCGAAGGCGCCCGGGGAGAAATCAAGTACCTGTCCGTGCTGCCACATGAAAATGTGCTTACGACGCGGCAGTCTATTACCGACAAGTAAAGGAGAGTGCAATCTCTGCCACCAGACTGTCTGCCACAAGTGCACTGTGAAGAAGCTCCTGCCGATCGAAGGGTCACGTGGCCGTCAAGTGAAAACAAAAGAGCTTGAGTTTTGTCTGAATTGCTACCTGAAAGCCAAACGTTTGTCGGCGTGGCAAGTTGCACTGGCCATGCTGAGCAGCTCTTCGCCATAATATGCAACAAAACTTCACACCGATCGAAGACGCACGACATTTCTTGCAATAGTTAACGGACTTTGAGTCCGTGCATGGTAGAACATGGTGGATTTGAAGCAAGTAGCGATACATATTAGGGGATCTCTATAGACTAGACTGGATTCAATCCCGCCAGTTTGTTCGTCTCAACACAGTTAGTGCCAATGTGTTTGGGTGGTAGGAGCATCCTGCCTGGGTATAGATAACAAAACGTGGTTCATTCGAGTTGCTGCAATGAGCTTAAACTGCTACATATTCCCTTTTCCACAGTCTTCATCGAGCGAGCTGGACATGCAACGTACGTACATGCGTACGTACGTCCAGGATCAATAGTACACTTAATCTTCCTACACTCTAGGTAACGTGGCCACCGCGACTTTCCACGCCGACAACTTCTTGGCCTTGACGTAACATGTCGAGCAAAAGTCGATACTTTTCGTGCTCGTAGAATCAATGGGCAATTGTTTCTTGACCGTACACTTCTTGCACACGTTGCATCGACACAAGAAACACGTCGTATTGTTCTCCAGTAGTTTCTTGAAACCTTTTGTAGGCAACTTATGGCAGCAAGCGCATCCTACGTGCTTCTCCGCCTCCTTGTCCGTGTTTATCCGTCGTGCGTATGCGTGCACGAACCACGCAAGTTTCTTCAAATACGATTCCTCCACAAGTTGCGCCGTATCCAGCAAACTCTCGCAAAACAGTTGCGTCGACTTTCGAATCCGAAAGAGGCCGCCGGCATTGCAAAAGCCTCGACAATAGACCTCTACTTCCCCTTGAGTAATGTAAGGCCGCACGATGCGGCAGCTGGACATGCGGAGTCGCACGAGGCCTCGTTTTCGATACTCCGGTACTTCTTCAATTTCCACGGAATGGCTCAGAAAGTAGCACACGCGTTGTCCACTCGAGTCAAGGGTCAGTCCAGTGGATTCCAGCGAGACCACGTCCCGTGGCTTGTCCACTGCTTTCGTCGAAAAGTGGGACGTCCACTTGATCCCTAAGAACCGGAACGGATCCTCTCGCGTCGGGCCTCGAATCTGGGCCAGAATCCGAATGTCTTTCGTGTTCCCGTCCTTGTTCGTAGCTGCTCGCATGATACTCCGGTCTTCGGTATCTGCTAAAAACCCGAGTCCCGCGTCGTCCACAGAGCCCGAGACAACCCCACAACCAAAGATCATGGGCGTATTCGGCGGTCGCGACTTCCCGAGCACGCTCTGCTCGGGGGCTTCCAGGTCGATGCGACTGTTTTCATAGTACTCCGAGTCGCCATGGACCATGGAACTCTCATCTTGCGACATCTCCCCTGCCAAATGCGAGTGCCCTCGGCCCATCATCAAGTCCCCGAACGTACTACTGCTGTCGATCGAATACAACTTGGGGCGATGGACAAACGACGACTCGACCGCTTCCTCTGTATCGAAGCGGTCACGGCGGCCACGTTTGCGTTGGGTCCCACGGGATCGATACGCAGTCATGCGCTCCTTCTGAATCACGACTTTCCATCGATCGAGGTCAACGGACCGACGGTCGGCAATAAACCCTTCACTAGCCTGCAGCGTTTCGGCAACTAATTGGTCCGCTATACTCTCGTAGTGCTCCATGTCGGTTCGGGAGAGCACTAATCGAGGAGGTGGGAAGACGTAACCAGCGTCCCACGAATGTCCGAATCGCATCGTCGTGCGGAACTTACAAGGCAAAGCACGAGAGCGTGTTACAGCGAGAGAAAGTGAATGACCGAGTGGGACTCGAGTGTGTAAATTAATTGATTGCTGGGGCGAGCGATCGGTCCGTCGATCGATCGATCGTTCGTTCCGTCCTGTGCCATGCAGCGACAAGTGTCTCACCAAGCTCCAGCAGCGAGTGAAAGAAGCAGAGGTGTGTGAAATAGCAGAGACCAGCTTGTCGGGGACAAAAGGGACGGGCCTATCGAGTCAGCGACACCTCACTGGCTGGGCGAGTTAGGGCCAGATCCCTCGAATTGGGAACTCGAGAGACCGTCGTCGTGCTATCGTTACGTTGTGAGAGACACTAGCTCGCGGTATAAGAAGACGAGGTGTAGAATCAGTCGGTTGGTTGTTGGTTGGTTGGTTGTTGGCTGGTTGTTCGCTCGCTTGTTCGCTGTGGGATGGCAGAGGGAAAGCGACTTGCAAGCGCCAACAACGACTGGCGTCGGGTCTAGAGAGACCCATTTATCAGCGACGTTACGTGGCGACAACCGCGTGGAAAATTTAGTACTGATCCTTGACCAGCGATCGAAAGCATCTGGGACGTGTGCAATGTTCGGAGTGCTTGGCGTCAGCTGTTACGATGGTGTTATTCCCTTACAATAATGGTCAAGAGCGATCGAAATAAACGGCTCTTGGCTCCGTGGTCGAAAGGTACGATAATACTTGACGCCATAGCGCTTGCTGCAGATCGATATAAAGAGACTCACATACTACTACGACTACTACTACTGCTACTACTACTGCAACTACTACTACTACTACAAATACTACTACTACTACAACTACTACTAATACAACTACTAATACTACTACTACTAGAATATGTATGGGGAGGATAGTTTATCAAAAATAGTATTGATAGGTAAACAGATGGATGGATGGACGCACAGGCCCGCTGTGGCTACGTCGAACGGGTCAGGTGAGACAAGTTTGGCTGTTTTTTGTAACGTACGTCCAGTGATGAGTGCGTCAGAAAGGACTGGTCAAGGCCGAGGTGGTTGCCACGTTGCAGTGGTGCCACAGAGCGTTCAGGTCGTTGAGACGGCGTATGTGTAGTGAGCGATTCTACGGGTTTGTATGATGGGCGCATTGCGCGAGTCAACTTTCGGGGGATCGATCGGGGATCCATCTTTGTGACTCGTCTCTTCTTACGAAAGGGCTCGAGATGTCCCGCCCTACAGAAATAGAGAGGAATAGAGAGAGAGAGGAATCGACAGATGGAGCTGAAGTAACTTTAGAAATCGATGATGAGCTAGACGACTGAAGCTCAAAGCGTCAGGAGCTGAACGGCATGAACGTCCAGTCCACAAACGTGGTTGTAGATCTTGCTTGGTGTGTTCTTGTACCCGACATAGGAGTGAGTTTGACCCAGCGCTTTTGTCGCGAACGTGTTGTGGATGCAAGTGTCGATGTGCCGCCGTTGTGAAAACATGTGCGGGTCACCTCTATACGACTTGATTGCGATACAACCCGTTCGACATGAAGCGCGCGACACTTTCGAGCGGGTCTCTGCGATTCTACTCATGGTATCAGGATTTTGCTGACTGTCATTGCATAAGGAGGGAGAGATAGGTCACCGAGTGGCCGCAGGGGACTCGTGTTTATTTGACTCATAGAATATTCGTGGTCAATCATGATAAGGCTTGAGTACTCTATTCTCTGCGCATGTCGGTGCTGCTCCTTTCCGACAAAGCAAGCGCCCTAACTTGAATTACAGTCTCCGTTAAGGAAAACAAAGCACAAGACTGTACGTTCGAGTACATTATTCGATAGAGACCGGCATTTCTACTCCTTGACACCAGCTCTCACAAGCAAACAACCGTGTTTTACGCTCGTTACCACCACTACTACTACTTCTTCTACTACTGTCTCTGCTGGGCTTTAAGCCGTGCAATTGCAACGTCCCAGGCGGACAGTTTCCGTGTCTCGATCACACACGAGACACAGAATGTGAGTTGCCGCTGGATGTTTCCCTCCACGTCCAGCAGCAGCTTCTTCTGCACACTGCACTTCTGGCAGATCGTCTCTCGACAGATAGCACACGTGCCTCCTGTCTGAATGAGCTTTCCGAATCGTTTCGTGGTCTTGTTACACACGCTGCACTCGGCGTTCATATGCTGTCGAACGTTTGTCGGACAGCGGCGTGACATGCGCCACACGAGTTTCTTGAGATACGAGGCCTCGACAATGCCCACGACGTCCACAATACCCTGGGAAAAGACACCCAAGCCAATTGCAGCTGGCAAGTTCCCGCCCATGTCGGCAAACCCTCGAGCGTACACTTCAATTTGAGTCTCTGAAGTCTGTCGCATAATGAAGCACACGGACAAGTTCATGCGGACCACGTTGCACCAATCCGGGAGCAACGGACAATCCTCGACTTCAATTGAGTGGGCGAGACTGTAGTACACGCGCTCGCCATCCGAGTCCAGAGCGATCCCTGATGACTCGAGAAAGAGGATATCCCGTCGAGACGCAAAGGCTGCAATGGGTCGCGTGGCCCATTTGATCCCAACATATCGAAACGGATCTTCTTCGCTCGGTGATTGAAACGATGCCAGGACTTTGCGGCCATCGAAGCCGTCGTTCTTGACATACGAATTGCGCTTGAACCACGCTTCGTCCGTATGGGCAAGGGCTCCGAAAGCCACGTCTTCGACATTGCCGTCAATGGTACCAATGGCCGTCACCAGAGGTACCCGGGATGGCTTGACCTTTTCAAGGACACTCTCTTCAGGAAAAATACAGAACGAGCCCGTATCACTCGAGGAACTGTGCGTAGCCGAGTGCGAGTGGGAGTGACCACTTCCGGATTTTTCCGCCGAACGTTCTAAGATTGCTTCCTCGTCGTCCGGCGTGAACCCATGCGGTCGCCCAGCAGCATGGGCTTGCTGTTGTTGCAGTTCAATAGTATCATTGGACAGCAGCCGCGGTCGACTCAATTGCCGTTCGTTCACGAGCTGGAGTAACTTGGCCGTCGCTCGACGGGTGCGGTACACATGCACCTTTTCGCGCGACTTGACGTGTTTCCACAGACGAGCGTCCACCTGTCGATTGTTGCCAATGTACTGCTCATACGATAGAAGAGCTTCTGCGACCACGCGGTCGGCCGTGTCGGTCAACTCTCGTTGACTTTCTTTCGAGAGGGTCACGGGCGTCGGCACGAGGCCGTCCAAGTCCTTAAACATCATTGTAAAAAACTGTGGCACTTGGATGGAAATTTTATTGTGGCTGACGACGGGCGAGCGAGCGAGCAATCGATCAACCGATCGGTCGATCAAGGTACTCGACCGGACTGACTAGAGTGGCTGCTGGCTGGCTCTGGCGAACTCGTTTTATGTCGGCTCGTTAGGTTTCTACTCTGGCTTTTTTCGACGCAACTATTTTCTTTGTGGAAGAAACCGTTTTTTCTCGAGCGGGCTAAAATAAGCGGGAACGAACCGTCGCGGGCTATGTTATTGTTTTAAAAAGCGCTTTTAAGAGCACAAGTCCATACTGTAGTCGGTGGCCCGCTTGACCGTAATCGCTGTGGCTGCTGCCTTCTTCTTTTCATCCTCTACCTACGTCTTGGTCTTTTTTTATAAAGCCACGTCTTTTCACACGAGAAGCTCCGTTATTTTTCATGTTTTTTGTAAAGCAAGTCAGCCGAGGCGTTTGTCTGCCCGCTGACCAAGCATGGATCCAAAAACAGAGCACCTGACGCAGGAACGTCTGCTATGAGGGCGTACAGTTACGAACCAAGTGTCTTCACGTGTATGCAGATATGTTTGTATGCATATTTGTATCAATATCATAAGACAGATCACACCATCTTGTGTCTGCTGTCGTGTTAAGTAGCAGGTGGCGGTACGTTTCCCGTCATAGTGATTATCCAAATCACTCTTCTTCTGCGTGACAGTTGACACATGTTAAGCAGACACGTCACGACGTGGTAGCTCCATGATCCCAGCGGGAAATCGGTTGGAACAAGTGGTGAAACGGTGCCCTGGATTTCGAGCAGCTCAACGACAATGTAAACAAACGAAGACAGAGACTTGTGCACTCTCCCATCGCAAACATACAACATCAGCTGGTTGTCTTCAACATGCAGGGCCAAGAAGGAGTAGACAGGCGCGCTCTTGAACATAGAACGATCCATGAACCGAACATGTGCTGAGCGGTCATGTGCAATTGAAAGTGCCCGGGAATCGATCTGGATGCCCTTTCTTCATTGACCCACAGCAGCTCGGCTGTCGCGCTCACTCTGTTCCCTTCTTCTGCTTTTCTTGGTCTCAATTGTGCGGTCTCAAGCGCCGGTTGTCGCCACCGTGTACGCTAGCGAAGTTCGTGCTTACGAGACTTATGCGAACTCCTTGTGGATGACGTGTTTACACACGGGGATCGAGACAAAGCTTGTGTGGTATGCTGAATGAGCTAGTCAGAAAATCATTGAAAACGGGGGAGATACGCTAGGGTCAAACGAGACTTGAGGGCGCTTTCGTCGCACATCACAGTAGTCTCCGCGCGGCCATTCGGCGGCTTTGTTCTACCGATGCTGATCGAGCCTTTTGTGGGCTGCCCACTTCAAGCAAATCAGAAGCGGCAGCAATGAACCTTGAGAAGAAGCACGCTCTGAATTCCACGCACATCGTCACACCTTTCCTAGCCACACGTCCGCAGTAAACTACATGATCGTATCAAGACTGAGCTGCCGCATACTCTACCCGTTCAAGAAGTTCATGTAAAGAATGACAGCGATTAGTTAAGGGTCAGCGGTTGCTTCGTCATTAAGTGATTGCCCATATGCAGTGACCATCCGAATCGCGTGCGATCTGACTGCCTTTATTCCGTGACCATCCGACTCGCGTGCGATCTCTAGTGACGACTGCGTCAACACTATGTTGAGAGACGTTGAGGTCCTTGTATGTTTACGACGCTGTAGACTAGATCGGTTTCCAACGGCCCGGCAGCACGATTAGCACTCTCGCCGATCGAATCTGCATGTTTCGAAATGGACCATCCGCACTTTGTAGAGGCGTGAACACTGTATGCAAATGATTTCGTTCATTTGACCCCAGTCGGTTCTTTATCAACGGCTCGTGCGACGGGTTTACAGACGTGTTTATTTGTCCTCCAATGTATTTTGAAATGGTAACCTACTTCATAGTAAAGATTGATGTCGTCATCCACTATCTCAGCAGACGCTTTGCTGTAATTGCAGCACGTACATGCTGCTTGATGGCGTTGTTCGCTTGTTCTTCTGCTTCCTTCACACCTGGCACCTGATCAAAGGGTGTGATATGCAATACGCACGACCCGCCGTGGTCACATGACCCCTCATACCGCCGTCTACGTCCTCGTTGGTAATAAAGTACTTGTCCGTCCTTCTCGAGGCTCAACTATGTCATGTAGGCCACAGCAGCAAGGGCATGACTTTATACTCAGTAAGCATCTTAAAGATAACGTATCCTTGAGCCTGAATCTCGTTGAGCTGTAAAAGTCCGATGCTTGAGCGGAGACTCGGATAGGGGTTCGTCTGAGAAGGTGCGTATCGACACGTACTTACTTGATCGCATGACAAGTGCGCAGAACACCTCCGTCGCAGATGTTTGCCCTCTCAGGCTCGAACTTGCTTCTTACGCAATAGAGACGACAAGAGTGTGAGCACGAACCTTCGTTCTGGGCTGACAGTAATCAATATATTGCATAGCAATGATGTAGTGATGGCAGTTGGGATACCGTCGACACATGTTGCGGACTCTTTGACAGGCTCACTCTGCTTTATAGATACAAATGCGCTTTTTTCGCAGCGGCCAAGAAAGCGGTCCACAATTTTGCCTGATTGAAAAATGTCGATGGAAAATTCGTTACGTCGGTGGTTTTTGCCAAATCTGCAATTTGATCGGTCTTATACTTTGTACCGCTCATTCATCTCGGTGTAAACATTGGATACCAGCCTTCTTTTCGCAAAGGTGTCATCCCTGGCTGAAACTTAGGATATCGATCCCACCGTCTCCCATGCTTTTGTGCTAATAGCCCTAAGTGTGTTAAAGTACACAGGATACAGTAAACCGATTCAGTAGAGTTCCATTATTTAATTTGGCTGAAACCTCCAAACTTTGATTAAATATAGGAGTTATTAAATAGCAGAGTTAGGAGAGATAGGGTCGAAGCAAAGGGTGCTTTACGTATCAACAAGGAAAAACGATAGCGTGGTCGCACCGCCAGTCCCTCTTCAAAACGCTGCATCGATGCTTGCAGTGCTCAAGACTTTCTGGTTGCAGCAGGAGATTGGAGAGGAGTTTTCAGGTGTAATTTAAGAGATGCAGGATCAGGTGGGAAATCTTCAGCAAAAATCCCTCTAGCAACAAACTTGGTTAATTTTTTGTAGTGGTCCCCCGGCAGTAGCTTAATATCTGTATGTCGGAAAATCTCTTTTGCTTTAAATATCGAAAATTAAGGGAGTTTTTTTAAATTTGGCTTGGGCCCAACATGTGACTCGAATTTCCTTTAAAAAAGAGAGATTATTATCTTAGAGAATAATAATTACGGAGACTCAACTGAACAGCGAGATTCGAGATTCAATCGGAGTTAAAAAGGTGTCGCTTCGTTGGTGCGACATGTAAGTGACAAGAAAGGAACAATACAAAATGCACCTCTCGTCGAAGTTGCGGCGATCGATGACAAAGTCTTCCACCGCGACCTACCAGTTTCGCTCAAAGAAGGCCGCTGAACTCGACCCGACAGCCCGACCGATTCAATGAGCGTGACCCACACAATATCGTACGCACGAAAAGACGTCACGTAAGGAAACGTGGAGCCTTTTTGAGTTACTAAATAAACCCAGGTTTGCACTTTTGCTTTCTGTTAGATGGTATAAAGTTGAGGGTTTGTGGCAAGTTCAAACGTCTCGCTAGCAACATGTCAACTACTGCTAGATACGCCTTGTCCATCACTTCTATGCCGCATCGTAATGCGCATCAGCGATACCAAAAGACGGGCACGTTCTTGCCTGCGGGACACAGCTTGCGTGGGCGAGTCCTTAGCTACGTTGTGACAGTTGCACCGTTTGGCGATATGGGGGAGTAGGTATTAATGCTTTCAAACAATGTCGCAATGTTTGACGGTATAAGACAGTGACCTCGACCAGTCTCGGTGTGGGTGGCTGAGAGCGCCTGGCGAGCTGTACGGCTCAGCCAGCACCAGCTAAACGCTGCATAATTTGAATTGAACAACAGGTGTGCATCATCAGCAACTGAAGACCATGAACTCTTTAGTACCTGGCTGGTCGATCATCTCCTGGTCCGGTTGATTAATCGGTGCCCATTCTAGTTTGTTAAACATGATACGACACCGCTCACTAATGAGCTTTACTCTATGTTTCATCAGCTTATGGTAAACGTAGCTCTCGTTCCTTACACTGTGCACTATTCTTTTTTACATTAAGGGTCGAACACCAGACAACCGCATCATTTACACCCATGATGTGACTTTGGCGTTTTTACCTTTACGCGTCAACGCTACATACTTCTGTTACATTATCCTGGTACGTGTAGTACGTTCTCGTGTGCTGCCTCAAATTCGAAGTTTTCTTCGTTCTTCAGCAACATCACTACAGGTCACGTGCCCTTCAACTAAATTTGGATGAACACAGTGCATCTATGCACTGCAGCAGCAACAGTTCGCGACTTTGTTACATAGACGCATTGTAGCTTTCGATGGAGGTGGAAGTGAGCTCTTCGCACAGACAATCGACCGAACAAGTCTTGTAGGATTGCTTTTGAGCGTGCTAACGTAGACCGATATCGCTAACATGAGATATGTAGAGACTGCATATAAGCCTAGCGCTGAATTTGACGTATAACACGCAAACATTTTGCTGGAGTCTGCAAGCATGTCTAATATTTTTGGCAGATAATTTCATGTGATACTGTCTTCTTCAGTAACTTCAATCACGTGTAGTCGACGAGTGAAGATGCTGCATCGGAAGTTAACAGCGCGACAAGCATGTAACATGTGCCCACCATATACAGCGAGAAGAATTAGTGAGCATTAGGATTTAGAGCAGATCAGTTGATGCCTTGTCGATTTGCAGCTGCCATGTACACAGAAGTGCATGAATGAGACATTATTGCGAGTCCGAAGCGCGACGCTGGTAGTGACAGAGCACAAGGTACGTGAATAAACCGAACTGGTTTCAGTTATTTAGACT